TGCTTCTTCCGTATGTGGCGATATACTTTCCAGTGTTTGATTACAGATCTCTGATTAATTTTGCCCATTTCTGTCACCTAATCTTCCTGTAGCATAGACTAAAGGCCTTTTCATCCTGAGTTACCATGGGAACTTGGGTGACTATATGTATAATAGATTATTACACTAATATTTCTGCTGCATTGTGAAGTTACTTAATAGCAGTAATAGCCAATATTTACATAGTGCCTACGATGTGCCAGGCAGTATGCTAAGCTCTTTACAATTATTATTTCATTTGATCTTCAATAACCCTGGGAGGCAGGTTGCTATTATTATCCCCATTTTATAGATGAAGAAACTGAGACAAGAAGGGTTAAGTGACTTGCCTGTCCAGGGTCACACAGCTAGTAAGTGTATGAGGCCGGATTTGAACTAAGGTCTTCTTGACTCCAGATCCAGGGCTCTTAAATCTACTGCACTGCCTGGCTGCCCAGGTAGCCTTCCATTTTGCTGCTGTGTTTGAGACTAGCCATACAGCCCTTTGTTTTGCAGTGGTGCTTAGGAGTGAGGGAGAGATGGAGACGACTCTGGTGGAGAAGCATGACTTGGTTGCCTTGGTGACCTCGATATGAGAAAGGAGAACCATACTTTCTAGGGAGAGTAGATTTCTATCAAAAGTATCCACCCATCTCCTAAAGACGAGAATTTGGTATTGGAGGAGGGACGGAAGTAAGCATTTGAAGTACCTTTGTTCAATACCCAAACCCCAGTTACTCTGTGTGTGTGTGTGTGTGTGTGTGTGTGTGTGTGTGTGTGTGTGTAGAAACACATGCATCCACTGAGCCAGTGCCGTAGGCCCTCAGCATGGGGTCTCCAGTAGCTTACTACGCTCACATATAGTTTCAAGACTTTTTCTAGTACATATCACTTGATTTTCCCAGTAACCTGCCATTAATTTGGGAACATTGTTCCCCTCCATTTCCTTTTCCACCCCACCCCCAATTGTGTATCATAGCCAAAGTCTAGTGTCATCTCCAAGAACAATTAGGTATACACTTTTATTTGTGATGTCCTACCTCTGCTTCTGTGACTTTGGGGAAATCATTTGGCCCCTCATGGCCTCAGTTTCCTCATCTGTAAAATGAGGGATGGGAGATTGAACAGAATGACCTTTAAGGTTCTTCTGGCTCTAAATCCTGTGATCTTCAGATCAACAGATACTTGGAATGCTCTAATCAAAAGATAAAGCCGTTCCTACAGTGCTATATAGCATGTTTATAGCAAGGCTAGGTCCAGTCTCTCCTTGTGACAAAATTTGCTTGAAAATATTGATGCACACTGTGTCCTCAGAGACTTACTCTTTCAGGTAGTCTGTTGCTTTTCTCCATGTCTGCCCGGTGGATGGACTAGAAAAGCAGCAAATATCCGCCTTGAGAAATTAGGAACAAGGCCTACAGATGGAAAGGCAAGCCATTCAGTGAGTGTTGATGCAAGTACAGGAACTAGGAAGACAACAGAGGATTGGGCAAAGAGCAGGAAGCCCAATTATTAGAGCCAGAGAACTAGATCTGCAGCACAGTGTATCAGTATGTGGACCGTTTCCGACTTTGGTTGGTAAATATTTCATTCTCTTTATTATTTCAGAGCTTAGCACAGTACCTGGCACATAGTAGGTTCTTAATGTTTATAGATTAATTGATTTCACAGCATTGATTTTCATCTGGGAATGCCACAGATTAGGATAATTTGTCCAGTTTTTTATGTGTATGTATGTGTCTGTTTCTGTATTTGTGATGTAACTGTGTGTATATCATATGCAGAATATATATGTACATGCATATATGTATGTTTATGCTCATAAACAAGTCTCTGGTGATTATATACTTGTTTATATATACACATATACATATGAGTGGCAACCAAGTGGCATAGTTGATAGAGTACTGGGTTTGGAATGAGTAAGCCTGAATTTACATCCTTCTTCACACTTACTAGCTAACCTTTCTCAACCTTATTTCCTCATCTGTAAACTAGGGATAATAATGGCCCCTGCCTTACAGGGTTGTTGTAAAGATCATGTGAGATGACATTTGTAAAGTATTTTATAAACTTAAAGTACTATATAAATGTTAGTGATTATGTGTGTAAATGTATATAAGTACATAAGTAACTATGTGTGTTTATTATATATGACTATATAAGAAGGGAAAGGAATATTAGGAAAGGGAAAAGCTATCTGTATAGCTATGTGTGTGTGTGCATGTGTGTATATATACACATAGATCTATGTATATCTGTGTGTGTGTGTGTGTGTGTGTGTGTACATATTCCTGATGTTCCTCCATTTCTCTGCTCCCTGGGGAAAATGATGGAGCCACACTGGCTCTGGCTGGAGAAATCTCCCAGCAAATATATGAAGTGTAGACATTCTCGGTCAGGCCTTTGTAGTCCTCACCATTATCCAGTGGTTACATCACCCTCATTCCTCTTTATAATCCAATCCTGTAAAACCTATTCTTCACAAGTACTGACTTAAACAAGTATTGAGTGTACATACACATAGACCTCTAACCAATGGTTACCGAATTTCCCATAGCAAGTACAGAAACATTCAATACCTATTCAGGTGGAACAGAATATCTTAGATTTGACTGACAGGAGTGGATACAGTGGAGAGAACTGTACCATGAAGAATTGAAAGCATGTCTACAGCCCACATATTTGTTAGGAGACTTCTGCAGAGATAGCCAGAGAAGCCCTGATGTCTTTCCCTAGGGGAAGGAGAGGTAAAGAAGTGTTACTGGGGTGATAACTGTTAGCATGGAAACTGGAGAATCACACCGGCAGAAGGAGGCAGCTGGAATGGCTAGAGGTGGTGATATCAGGATTTTCACTGTACAGAGGCATTATAAGCAAAATTATCTAAGGAAAATGAGGTGAGCTTGCCCTTGCTGGTGTGTTTTGAGACAAGCCACAGAATCCTGTCCTTGAATATTGGCATACTAGGAGTGAGTGAACTCCAGAATATAATGGAAATGTGACTGTGGCTGTGGTTATCTTGGTGACTTGGATACTGCTGGTAGACTGGCTTTCTGGGAAAGCAACCACAGGAGTGATTATTGTGTTTTTTATTCCCTTTTGACTTTGTTACTGTAGGTTTTTGGTCCATTGAATAGAAGCTATGGGCAGTCACATTTCTGGAGTGTGCTTGCAATGTAGATTGAACAACAAGCTGTATGTTTAATTAAGCACTTTCCGTTGTTGTTGTTTTTCAGTCATGTTTGACACTTCTTGACCCCATTTGGAGTTTTCTTGGCAAAGATACTAGAATGGTTTGCCATTTCTTTCTCTAACTCATTTTACAGATGAGGAAACTGAGGCAAATAGGGTGAAGTGACTTGCCCGGGGTTAAACAGCTAGGAAGTGCCTAAGGCTAGATTTACACTCAGGAACATGAGTCTTCCTGACTCCAGGTCTAGCATTCTATCCGTTGTGAGATCGAGTATTCCCTTCTTGAGGTCATGATTTATAAGACCTTGGATGAGAAGCCCTTCTTCTTGCCCCAGCAGTATCCATGGAAACTTCATAGAGAAAGATACTAGAATTCACTCCTTATGCCACCTACCCAGGGTTTAATAATAATTATTCGAACAAATAATAATCATCACCATAGCACTTTCAAGTGTCTCTGTAACAGAGAGGGACAAACACTGATCTAAAAGTTGTAAAAGAGTTAGGACTTCACTTGAAGAGAAAGTCCTTTCCCTACACTTCCAAGTGATCTTCATCCACTGATAATCTTGGATTCCCATGTGATATTTGTGATTTCTCTGTTATCTCCATCTGACTCAGATCCCCTCTAAAAATTATCCAATTTATTAACCCTTGAAAAATCCCCAGAAATTTCATCATCTTGCTGTCACTTACCTCCTTTTTTGGAAGAAAGCAGGGATGAGTAGGCCATTGGTTTTGAGGATTTCATTAAAGTGCATGAGGTTTGGTTCATCTGTTTGGCCTTTAAAGCCCTTTATAACCCTGGCCCCTCCTACCTTTCTGCCAACTTCCCCCTAAGCCCGTGTCCTCTGTCATTCAGTGACACTGGCCTCCTTGCTGTTCCTTACATAAGACAATCCAATTCTCCATGCTTGGAAGGCTCTTCCTCCTCATCTCCACCTCCTGACCTTCCTGGCTTCCTTCAAGCCCCCAGCTAAAATCCCATCTTCCCTGAGAAGCCTTTTCTGATCCCTCTTAGCACTAGTGCCTGCCTTCTGTTGATTGTCTCCAGTTTAACATAGTTTGAATGAAAGTAGTTGTTTGCATGTTATCTCCTCCATTAGACCATAGGCTCCTTGAGGGCAGGGCCTGCCTTTCTCCTTTCTTTGTATCCCCAGTGATTAGCATGGTGCCTGGCACATCATAGGCACCAAGTAAGTACCTAACTAACAGCATTGTCATTTAGTGCAGGGCTCTTAATTTGGGATCTGTGAACTGTTTCGTATATACATATATATATACATATACATATACATACACATATACAAATACATATATATTATATATATATAATTGTATTTGATATAATTGTTTTCTTTTGTAATCTTGTTATTTATTTTGTTGTGCATTTAGAAAGTGATTCTCAGACTGCCAAGTCTCAGACTGCCAAGGGTGATTAGGTGCTACTGGTGGGTCAGACATCGCAGAGTAAACACAGGAAGGATGATAGGTAGAACTCTATCTGTAGGCCAAAGAAGGTCATGTAAGTCATAAACTTTGCCTTGAAGCTGACCAGATGGGTTTCCACGGAGATACGTTAGACTTGTGTTTTCCTGCATTATGGAGGCCTGTGTTTTAGTGTTGAATAGTGGCGTACCCTATTCTCTTTCCGTTGATTCTTGACCTTTAATATAAGCAGAAGGGTTATTTAAAAACAAAAACAAAAACAAAAATAAAAACCCAACCCTGTTCTTCCTGAAATTTTTATCCTGTTTTTCTTTTTTCCTTTCTTGGGCTGTTTTTAGGTTTTTGTCAAGCAGGAAAAGATTTACGTTTAGTGTCCCTGTGTATGGAACAAATTGAGATCCCAGCAGGTTTCCTGCTAGTGGGTGCCAAGTCTCCAAATCTTCCCGAACATATTTTAGTTTGTGCTGTAGACAAGAGATTCCTGCCAGATGATCATGGAAAAAATGCACTTTTAGGTGAGTATCTGGAACCCTTGTGAGCTTCTTGCTAGTAATAAGTTTTTTCAAATCCACATTTATTTAAAATTATGGTGACAGAAAGAAGAGTAGGTTTACTCATTTTATTGGTCCAGAGGAAGCCAGCGAACTTATCGCAGGAAGGTGAACAGAGTATAATTAATTAAGCAAAGCAAAAAGAAACAAATGTTCAGGATCAGTCAGATGGTCACCCTGAATTCCCAGCCTTGGGATATGCAGCAGGACAACCTAGCAAACAAGAAGAGGTGGGCAGAATAAAAGTCAGAGCTGAGTGACCTAACCTTTCTTGATGCAGCAATCTTCTCGAAAGTACAGTCAACAATGCAAACACATCAGTCAATCAGTAAGCATTTATTAAACACCTGCTATGTGCCAGGAACTGCCTGGGGATACAAAAAGAGGCAAAAGACAACACTTGCCCTCAGGGAGTTTACAGTCTAATGAATGAAATAACATGCAAACAAACGTATACAAAGCAAGCTATGTACAGGACAAATAGGAAATAATTAAGAGGGGAGGCACTGGAACATGAACCACCCAGGTAAACTGGTTCTAGATGTTTACCCACAGTTACATTTGTCCCTCCCCTCAGCATATGTAGGTCATTAGATACAAGATATTCTCTGCTACACCCAGTTCTTGGAAACTATCACTCTCTACCCTTCATAACAGGTTGTAAATATTCCTAGAAATGTACATTTGCCTGGGTGAGGTGATTGCATATAACCAGAGTCCTGTATATGTGCATGGAGCCTTCCAAACCAGTTGGCTAGGCTGTGTCCCACACTCTTGTCTCTCATATGTACATGCATATGGTAGTTCCTCTATTTGAAGAGGAATTCACTTTAGGGGAAAAAAAGTTAAACAAGAATGGTGAAGCAGTTAATATTTTTCGCTTTCCTATGTTCTCAAAAAATATATATGTGAACTAAGAGATTTGTTTAATCAGACTTTTCTAAGTTTCAACCTTACTTACAAAAGTAAATTCAAAAACATACTTTTATAGTTTCTCAGTATGGTGGAACTTCTCTGGAGGATTTTAAAAATAACATAGTCCCATATGATTGGAATGGTTAGAAGAATAGTCTTCCCCAAAGGCTGGAGAATGGACTAGAAGACTCTTTAAGGTTTCTTCCACCATATTGATTCTGTACATCTGAAAGTGTTTGACTTGGAATCTATCATAGAAGGGTGAAAGAAGGTATCACCAGAATAGATCATTGTTGTAATTGTCATCTGTTTATGTTATCTCTCACATATATGTAGCCTTCTTGCCATTCACAAAATCAAGACCTTACCTTATGTCTTCCTCAGTCTTACCTGGACTTTTGTTATAGCCTCCTCCCTGCCTCTGGTCTCTCTCCCTTCTGTAGTCCATACTCTATGTAGATGCCAAAATAGTCTTCCTAATGATTCCTTCCTAATTATGAGAGTTTTCCCCACACCGAATGTGAGCTCCTGGAAGGCAGAGACTATTCCATCTTTGGCTTTGTATCTGTACTACCTGGCATGCATATTTGTGTGTAGTCATAATCAGTTAGAGCAAAGGTCAATGTCAATGATAATGAGAAGAGAGGTAATAATAACTGCCTTTTATGTACACATAAATATGTATCCAGCACATTAAGGTTTTCAAAGAACTTTATATTCATGATCTCATTTAAAATTTTTCATTTATTAAGCACCTAATGTGTACTATGTGCTAAGCACTAGAGACCCAAAGAGAGAAACTAAAAAGTCACCTTCCCTCAAGAAGTTTACATTCCATTGGGAAAAAATAATACATTCCCATATAAATAAATATAAAATGTACATGAAGTAAATACAGAGTGATATGGAAGGGCATTGTTAGCAACTGGGAGGATCAGGAGAGGACTCATGTAGGAGACCTGTATATGAGGGTGTGCTGGTAAATACTTACAACCAGCTTTGGGTCAGGGTATAGCAGAACACACTTTAAAATTATATCTGTATTAATTACTCACGTGTTCTCCATCATTTTCTTAAGTCTAGACAATTGGCAGTACAGTAAGTCAAGTCCTGATTCATAGCATTGCTGATTCCAGTGATATTGGTGCACACACTGAAAATTTAACAGTTGGCTCTGAGCTGGGCTCCTGTACACCACTGCCTAGATGTTTATTGTTGTTGTTCAGTTGTTTCAGTCCTATCCAACTCTTCCTGACCCTATTTGGGATTTTCTTGGCAAAGATACTAGACTAGTAGAGATACTGTTTCCTTCTCCAGCTCATTTTATAGATGAGGAAACTGAGGTAAACAGGGTTAAGTAACTTACTTAGCATCACACAGCTAGTTAGTGTCTGAGGCCAGATATTAACTTGGGTATTCCTAACTCCAGGCCCAGCAGTCAATCCACTGCTCTATCTAGCTGCCCTGCCTACACGAAACATCCCAATTACAGACAACAAAACTGAGTCTGAGAGAGGTTAAGTGAATTGCCCAAGGTTACACAGATAATAAATATCTAAGTCAGGGGTCAAAGTCCAGCTCTCTGTCTATCCACTACACCAGGCTGTATGCAAGTATAGCTCCAGCCTAACCTATTTAAATGATCCATTTACTCGAAAAATGTGAAGTGGATAAAATTAAATTTTTTATTATTTGATTTCTTCAAGAGATTTAACTGATGTAAAACAGTTGACCTAAAAAAAAGAAAAAAGTAATCTAAAATAGACTAGAAGCTGTCTTTCTAATTTTTTATTCTTCTGTTACACAGAAATACCTCACTACCAAACCAAGTACTGGTTTAAGAAAACAAGCTCATATAATAAGTTATATTATGGAGAAAGATGACAGATCATGATCAGTATGTCATTTCACAAAACAGTGAAAAACAATGGAGGGAGGAAACACCCCTGAATAAAATTGTGTAAGACTCAACTAAGCCAGATCATTCTGAGAGTAATCATAGATGAATCTACTAGGAGAATATCAAGAGGTCATAAAATGGAACATATTTGCCAGTGTTTTTATCGTGATCTCTTCTTTACATCCATGACAGTGGAAACGTATTTGTACTCTAACACTTCAATACCTAATGTTCTAACCAAGGATATAGAAATAAGATGAAATTGGGAAGATGAACTGAACTAGACAGTAGAGAAGAAATCCATGCTGGAGGCTCTTTTATTTTTTAAAAATTTTAAATTTAAATTATTTAAATTTAATAATAAACAAATTAATTAAAATTAATAAATTTAAAAAATTTTAAAGACTCTCAGGAAATAGTTTTCAATGGATTTCAAAGAGCGAAGGATTTTTTAAAAAATGGAAAAGATTATAGATCACATTATGAAAGGTGACCAAGCAGGCATAGAATACAACCAACCCATCTACCTCATCTAAATAAAATCCTTGTGAGAATGGCTTCTCTGTATATGGAAGATAGACATGGTGAAAATAGGACAAAAAGGAATAAATTGGTTTTCCTAGACAGTTTTCAACAGTGCATCAACTGTTAGTTACACAGTTGAGGGAAACATGTAGAGAAATCCAGATTCCATTATGGTTGTTATTTGTTGATTACTTTTTTTAAAAAAAAGATTATTTATTAGAAACTGTTACAAAAAAGTTTTATTTTTAACACAAACTGCAACTTGAAAGGGTCTCTTCCAACAGGGTGTCCCCCATATATATTTTAAGAAAATAAAATATTCCTTAAGAGATAAAACAGCAGATTTAGATCTATTCATTAATGCTCCAAATTTAAGTATCATGCACTGCATAAAACAAGAAAACACGCTCACTAAATGTATTGTCCCATGTTATGCAAAACGTCTTGAATGATGTCCAGTGGGAAAAAAGATTCCAAAGAGATAGTAAGTTTCTCCAGATGATTCTGTTTGTGTCTGCCATTTTGCTGATTGCTGATTTGCTCCATTCTCAGTGGTATTCACAGCCATTTACAAAACATTGGTTTAACAGTTAAACATTGGTTTAACAATCCACATAAGAAAAAACACAGTGAATGGAGAATGCATATGTCCTAGATTATGTATCTTGGATAATTACCTCATCATCAGAAATCTCATTATCATTAAAATTGATTAATCATTGATACTGAAGACTTTGTCAACACCCTCTGACTAGAGGATTGGAGGGAGGAGCAATAAACTCATCCCAGAGCCATCTTTTAGAGAGGCTCTAGAACTTTCTAGTTTAATTTTTCATTATCCATTAGCTTCCCTGCTTGGTTTCAACTCTACACCATCATATTCTCCTCTCCCCCAGGTCACGTACCTTGGGTGAGGGGAGGAGGGTCTCCTTTTCAGCTTCCTTTTGTGTATTCTCTTCCCGCATTAAGACTGTAAGCTCCTTGAGGTCAGGGACTATATCTCTTACTCCTATTTGAATCCCTAGTGCTTAGCACAGTGCCTAGCACTTAGTAGATGCTTAATAAAAGCTTGTTGACTATTGATTATTGACTAGTCATTTCAGATGGTTAATGAACTGGGCCTAGAATTGAATTAGAGGAGGAGATGAGGTTGAATCTCATTTAGGAAATTTCGTAATTCCTTTAGTGATCCCAAGCCATTCTTTGCTACAACACCAGTATTTTTAAAACCAGTATTTTTCTAGTGATCTACATGACTACAAATCATGGAACATCATGATCTCAGAGGGATTAAGATTGTGGTCATCCAAAGGGCAAAGGAAAATTCGTGGTGGGTGTAAATAAGCTGCCACATGTTAATACTCATGATTGTGCATGAAAAATAGTACAAAAGACATTCTCAGGGATGTGTATGCTTGGAAAGAAGGAGGTGGGCTGGTTGTGTAGCAGGAACAAAAGATAACATATATGGCATTAATATCTCTGAAATCGTAATAGACCTAGAGCAGAGGGTTTAAACATATCTGTGAGCTTTTTTTAATTTGATAACTATTCCAATATAATTGTATTCTCTTGTAATCCTGTGTATTTTATTTTATGCATTGAAAAACATTATTCTGAGAAGGCATCCATAGGCTTCGCCAGGCTACCAAAGAGAGGCATGACACAGAGTCAGGCTGACCTAGAGTAAGAACTCCTCCACACTGAATAGATCTTCCATTGGGATTGATGGAAGGACAAGGAATGCACAGCCTCGGAAGGCATGGATTGGGTGTGCGCTATACCAGCCACGGTTGGGAATACCTATGCCATTGAGCCTTTAAACTATAGAAGTATATCGTTCTGATGGATGATTTTGACAAGCATTGGAGCACCTCAGAACAGTATTTTAAAAGTTTTCAGATGATCTGGAGTTATGGGCAGTTTCCTGATAACCTCGAGATTGTACTTCAAGCATATGGTAACCAAAAAACAAATCTAACATGCAGATGAAGAATATGGCTTCCTCCTAATTAGTAGAAAAATCAGAAAGCTAAAATGTATGGCCATGAGAAGTAGGTAAAATTTTACCAGCATGTATTATTTTTGAACAAAATTTCCAGCATACTAAAGACCTAAAACTTTTACAGTGAAGATCAGAGTTCTGTTCCTTAAATCAGGCTAATGGTAAATTATCTCATTCACTCCCATCACTTTGGCTACCACCACCCCTCATGTAACTCTCAGGTCTATCTCCAGCCCTGACCTCCTTCCCAAACTCCATAGCTGCATTTTCAACACTCTAGAGGACATTTCTACCTTCATTCTCCACCCAGATATTTCTCTGTCCTTCAAAGTCAGTAAGTCCAAAACCAGTCCTATTATCTTTCTCCCCAAAGCCTATTCTTTAAACATTATCATCATCATCATCATCATCTTAGCATTTATACAGCACTAGAAGCTTTGCAAAGTGTTGTATGTATTGTCTCATTTGATCCTTACAACAAACCTGGGACGTAGGTGCTATTCTTATCCTCATTTTATAGATGGGGAAACTGAGGCTGAGAGAGGTATTAAGGATCTGAGATGAGATTTGAACTCAGATTTTCCTAATTCCTAGGTCATCATTCTTAACCTACTGTACCACCTATGTCCTAAGGCCACCACCATTTCCACCAGCCTTAAAACCTTGGAAATGCTCATTTGATTTTGCTGACTCCATCTCTTCATCTATCCACTTGGTTTACAAGGCATATCCAGTCTGCTTCTTCCTCCCCAGAACCCCTGGTGTATCTCAGTAGAATAATTGTTTTTTGTTTGACCACTTTTTTCCCATCCTTTTTTTCACTTTTAGGGTTTTCTGGAAACTGCATAGGCTGTGGAGAAAGAGGATTTCGGTATTTCACGGAGTTTTCCAACCATATCAACTTAAAGCTCACCACACAGCCAAAAAAGCAGAAGCACTTAAAGTACTACCTGGTCAGAAGTTCCCAGGGTGTCCTGTCAAAGGGGCCTCTGATCTGTTGGAAAGGTGAGGTGGCCCGGGTTCAGCTCCATGTGCAGCTCCTCTGGCTATCGGAGCAAAGTGGAGGGAGGACGAGAGAGGAGTGGGGACTTGAGGATCATGACAGGAGGACCTCCCATGGTACACATTTCCGGTGTGGTTATTAGTCTAGGAGTGAAGTATATCTATAGCTGTGTGTTTAAGGGTAACTTTCAGCCCTCCCAGCCCACCAGAAAACCCTCTACAAAATTTGTCTAGTTTCTATAAATTGGAGGTTATTGAAATAACTGTTATCTGTGCATTAATCTTTTGATATCTCAGAAGCACTTGCTTTTTTTTTCTATTTCAGCCAATCTCAGCCTATTTCCAGTAAATTTTATACACTTTATTTTTTCTGAAAAAAAATTACATTCATCTAACATTTGTAGTTACTAAATATGAGTGATTTGCCTTGCTTTTAATTTTAGAAACTTATACCGGGGACCAACGATTTGTGAGGTGGGAGTGGGAGGTGGAATGGAATAAGCATTTCTATAACACCTACTATGTGCCAGGCACTGTGCTAGTACTTGACAGATATCTCCTTTTATCAGAAGTGAAGCTTGATTCAAAAGAATTGCCACAGTTTCAGCCAGTAGTTCTAATTGCAGTGAGGTATAACAGTCTTATTTCACTGCATATTTCAAAAGAAAGACTTCTTTTATTCTAAAAATATCTGTCCTGAATGCTTTTGTTTGTTGTGGCTTAATGTGTGTGTAGTTGTTATTTGTTAAGCAAACAACAAATACCGGAGCTTTGTAAATTTACAAATAGCTCTTTTCCAATAGTCACACAGCTTCACTGGAAGTCACATCATTTGCCTCTTCTGGAAATAGCTGTAACTCTTAACTTCCAGGATTTTCAGATCTGAGAACTTCTCTTTTGGCTATGGGAATACCTTAATGAAATGATGATGTAGAATACTGTATTTGAGACCATGCTTGACTAAAATCAAGCCAAGGAATTTTGCTTTAGAAAAGTCAGATTGAATGAATCCTGAAATCCAAGTAAAAATCAAATTAGCACTATGTTTCTATTCCTCTAAACTTTCATCTGAAGCTGTCTTGCTCTATAACTTGAGATAATTTCACGTCTTGTTTTTTCTGATTATCCATCTTAAGATATAGCTTAAGTTGTTTTTTTTTTTTTAACTTTTCTGACCAATAGGACTTTTTTTTCTAGGTGGTTTCTCAAATCTGAATAGAATATATGGAATATATATATATATATGTATATAATGTATATGTACAGAGAGAGATTAATAGGGAGCCACTGATGATTATTGTATAGTGGGGAGGATGACAAATTAATAATAATTAACATTTATACAATACTTTTTATGTGTCAGCCCCATTGCTAAACATTTTCCAATTATTATCTCATTTGATTCTCATAACAACCCTGAAAGTTAGGTGCTGTTATTATCCCCATTTTACAGATGAAGAAACAGAAACAGAGGTGAAGTGACTTGCCCAGGGTCATACAGCTAATAAATGTCTGAAGCTGAATTTGAACTCAGGTCTTTCTGACTCCAGGCTCAGTGCTCTATCTACTGAACCACCTAGCTGCCCTACGGTCAGACCTGCACTTTAGTAAAATGATTTTGGTAGCTGAGTAGAGGACAGATTGAAGTAGGCAAAAGACTTGAAGCAGGAAGAACAGCTAGAAGCTTATTGTAATTGTCCAAGCTCAAGGTGATGAAGGCCTGAACTGCAGTGTTAGCTATGTGAGTAAAGAGAAAGGGGTATATATGATAGGTGTTCTGATGGTAGAAACCGTTTTGGCAGTAGATTAGATATATGGGGTCAGTGCAAGAGAGGAGTCAAGGATGACATTAAAGTGATGAGCCTGGAAAAGTGGAAGGACAGTGATTCTCTTGATAGTAACAGGACATTTAGGAAGACAGGGTGCAAGGAGGGGGCTTGGCTTTAGCAAGGAAAAGGACAATCTTCATCTGAGCTAGGAGTGAAGAAAAGATAGTTGGACAATACCGTCTGAGTGATGTGAACTGAGAAGGGTAGAAGGAGTTCTCGGGGAATGGCTTCAATTTTTTCACTGAAATTTGAAGTGAACTCCTCATCTGAGAGGGTGGGGAGTGGTGAGATCAGGGGAAGTTTGAGGAAGGATAGAAAGGTATGGACTAGATGCTGGGGTGAGTGGGATAATAAAAATGTTTAATTGAATTCAACATATATTTTAAATTTATTTTTTAGTCATTTTGAACTTAAATGCATAAAGAAAAAAAAACATTTCCATCTACGCAGCACAACATAAAAAGAGGATTCACTATAAAACCATGAATTTATGTTTCATACTTTTTACTTTAAAAAAAACTATATAATATACATCGTTTTCAAAGCTACCCTGTTTTCTATGCTTTTCTTTCTAAATATTCTTTTATTCTTTGCTGTGTACTTTTTATTTTTTTCCCTTCCTTCCCATCCTGCTCTGGAGGTGGCTGCTATTAGATACAAATATGTATATGGGATAGTAAATTGATGACAGGTGTGAAACAATTGGTTTGCTATAATAAGGGCTCAGTTGAGATATGGAGCAGATTTATAGTGTACACAGTCAGTGTGGTTTCCTGATTTTTCCATATCTGTTTAATAGCAGGTGAATAAAAGTAAAGGAGGTAGTTACTGGAAATAATCCAGGGTTGGAGTTTGGCTAAAGTAGTTATAAGCTGTATAGTTGTTGTTGTTGTATAGTTGTGTAGTCGTCTAAAGTAGTTATAAGTTGTGACTTGTCCAGGGTCACAAAGCCAGTCTTTGTCAGAGGCAAGACTTAACTCAGGTTTTCCTAGCTCCACAGCCAGCTCTCTCTCCTATTCTGGTCTTGGAGTCAAAAAGATCTGGGTTCTGGTCTGGACATACTAATGAAGGTTTGCATATATATACATATACACATATATGTGTATATACACACACACACATGCATGCGTGTGTGCACACACCCACACACATGTACACTGGGTACCATTTTGAATTTGAGATGAGAAATTTGTTGTGCTATACTGACATTTTTTTCCTTCGTCAGAATCTGAAGGTTGTTTTGTTTGGTTTCCAGAGAAAGGTACTGTAGCACATCATAGTAGAAGGAGATGTTAGGGATGTGTTCAAATATATTCCTACATCTGGTTTACTTAGGAACTCTCTGGGGAATAAATGTTAATCCAGCTAACCCACTATATTTTCCTTTCTTATGTACGACCGTGTATGTGGTATATAACATGACCTGTGACCAGAAACACTTATGTGGTAATTTCAACCCTTGGAACTAACCTCCCACTGTGTATTTGACGTTGTCTCATTACACAGAGTTTCTAGAAAGGTTTCACTAAAATCTCACTTAATATGAAGCTTGATGAGATACGATTAGTCAGATTAAATATCTGCCTGCCAATTTGATGTTCGTTCAGCATGCCTAGAATTCTAGGGCTTTGCAACTTCTGTTTTCCTCTGGTGAAACCTTGCATCTACTGGAGGTCAGCTAACATTGAGTGGGGAGAACTAAACCCCCCGTAGACCATCTGACTGAGTTGATTGGCCTGTGTTTGAATCGTCCTCGAACATAAGGTTAACTAGTGTTTGAAAGCTTACCGAGATTTTCTGAATTGTTGACCTGTTAACCTTTTCCCACAGAGGAGGCTCAAACTGATTCATAAAAATGAACATGACAGTGTTTGTGGAAATACAGCTCAGGTTATCTAAGTTGCACTTACTGCCCCCCCCCCCCCTCCCCCAGCGCTTACCCCAAGCCTCCACTACATACATACCTTTTAACCGTGATAGTGGACTACAGGAATTTGCAATTTGGATTTTTTCCTTGTCCTCATCCTATGGGAGTCAGGCTCAGGGGATGGAGGATTTGTGAAGATGCAATGATTTACCCCTTGAAGGCCAGCTCTTTGTTCTGTCAGTTAGGTTTTAACCTTCACGGCTGTAACCACCAGATCCCTGTCACTTACATCACCACAAGCTGGGCCTGTTCCTGTGCCTCCTCATGCATTGTGGCTCTTACTCGTTTCTAGAATGTAGAAGCCGACAATCCTCTGCTGCTTGCCACTCTGCTAAACCAAATTCTTCAGTGTCATCAACGGTAACCCCAGAAAATGGAACAACAAATGGATACAAATCAGGATTCACCCAAACAGGTACGGCCTATTGTTTTCTTTTCCATCCTCGGGTGTACCAATGTGCATTCTCTCAGAGGTGTCAGCACACTGTAGATGGACTTAGAGGTGCTGTAGTTAGCTTGAACTGGAGTAGAGTCGATGATTATATCTTCAGCACGAGCATTTATATATACCTCAGGAGTTGGCAAGATTGCGGATCAGGGCTTGGTTTATTATTCTTTTGATTATCTCGACTTAAGAAAATGTTAGTAGCACGGCGTAAAAGTGTGTTGTGCATACATTTCCGTCCCTAGGGAGCAGCTTCAGAGTCAGTAAAACCTGAATTATAGGACCAGGTCCCTCCCTCTGACAAATACCGTGTGACCCTGGCCACGTTGTGGAATAGTTGTCTGCTTGCATTGGTAGAGGAAATTTCCTCACTGGGATTTCCCTATGCCAATAAAATCACATTTATGTATACACACACACACAGGTGTATATCATGTACAGGATCTCTCAATGTATGGGCAAATGAAATAATATTCATAACGTTATTAGCACCCATGTCTGATACACAGTAGGCTCTTATTAAATGCTTATTTCCTTTCCTATGTATGTGTACATGTATATTTATATAGAAATGTATGCTTATGTATATATGTATATGATTTGAGTGGATATCCATTGACTGGTTCCGTGAAGTTTATGTGCGTATAATTCCAAGCAAGTCACTTAACTTCAAAGTTATATATACATATGCATACATACACACACAGATATATATGTATACCTACATACTCATGCATATGTAGACATACATGTATACCCAAAACTTCATAGATTCTTGTTAATGGCCATCCACCAAAGCAGTGCTGATGATTAAGAAATAAGCTAAAAGTGGCATTGTCGTCCATTAGATAGACAGCTGGCCTTCAGAATCAGGAACCTGGATCAACGTCCTGTCTCTGACATATAGGCTGTAGGAACCCAGGCTCTTAGCAGCTCTCTAAGATGTTAAATTGCAGACTAAGTGTTAATCTATATTAGTAGAGGGAATTTTTTTTTAAATTGGAATTCCCTACACCAAAATAGATATATGTGTGTATACATATACCATGCCATACATACAGATGAATATACCCTCTTATATTCATGCATATGCATTGTACGTTGTATGTGTGTATGTGTAGTTTTGAGTGGGTGGTCACTATCAAGGAACTGTATAAAGCTTACATGTACATGTATACACACACAGTCACTGACAAGAAATTTTGTAAAAATATATTTGTGCCTATATGTATATATGTATGCACATACATGCATATGGCTATATATGCCCAAATCAAAACAAAATACAGGTTTTTTTTAACCCTATATACTTCTTGTAAACCAATTTTTAAATGTGGATGGATCTATCAGTTTTCTATCATTGTCTTCAAGGATAATGACAATCAGTTATTTAATTTAGATATGGTTGGTAAAACTGGTTATTTAAATTGCTTTATAGACCCTTCCTCACTAAATAATTACAGAATCCTGAGTTCTTTGCCTAACACTTAGAGAATGTGAGAAGAACGTATAAAGAATATGGTTTTAGCAGCTCCCAACCCCTAACTGTGCAGATTTTCTAGCAGCATGTAAATGATTTGGTAGTGATAGAGTGAAGTTTCCCAGAATAAATTATGCCCATTCTCATATTAATATATAGAAAGGGTAAAAACTGACCCTGGCCCTGGCCCTTGAAGCCCGCCTGCTGCCAACAAAGGGAAAAAAATTGACAAGAAACAAGGAATGGAAGAAGAGAGCAATCCAAGCAGTCCTTCAGAGTACCATCCCCTTTGATTTTTTTCAGAACTATCAGATGGTCAGTCTGGTCCTGGTGGCCACTCAGTAAATATTGTTGATTGACCAACCTAAAAACTGTATAAAATTCTGGCCTTCCTAAGAGTAACAGAGGAGAGGGCTCAGAAGATAGCCACAAAATAAGGTGGGGAGAAACAAAATGATCTGAGATCCTTTAGGTTGGAGAAGAGAAAGGTAAAAAAGGCCCTGACGGACATAACCAGTTATATAAAGAAGAGTGGTCATTCTTTCCATTGAGAGTAAAAGAAAGAGAAAGTCTACCTAAAGGACTTAAGTTTTATATAGGAAAGAACTTTCTTATGTAAGAGTTTTTTTTGTTTTTTTGTTTTTAAACCTAGTGACAGTTACCTAGGAAGGTTCTGGAAAGTTACTTCTGGGATCTTTTCCTGAAAAGAGTAGATTATGTTTTATCAGCATGATCCTGCTCAGAGAGCACGGGATGGGGCTTTGCAGAGTCAGAGCTCTTTACAGATATAAGATCACTTAATTAAATATATTGGTGGCAAACATAGCTGTATTTGAAGCAGCTCTAGTGAGATGATTGGAACAGGATTTTTTTCTCAGTGATTCCATCTCTATGGTCTTATCCTTAGGATTCGTGAAGTGGATTTTTGTTTTAACTTTTAGTGCCGTGTTGGTTAAGAAAGACTAATTTTGAAATTCAAAAGATGTTGACTCTTCTTAGTGAGGCCAACCAGGATAGGGGAGAGAACAGGACTTTGGACTGAGAAGGAGTGAACATTTGTTGACTCAGTAACTAGAGGGATGAAAAGTGAAATTTGGATATTGGCATTAAAAAATACTTCATTCTTACACCTACAGTAATTGTTGACATAGATGACTACACTAGAACTTTAGCTTTCTACCTGAACTGTGCTATTAACGTGGGACCCAAGAAATGGTATTTATAAACTACAGTGCTGATAACTAAGAGATAAGCAAAAAGCAGCACTGTGGTCCATGAGTTGGAGAGCTGGCCTTCAGAATTAGGAAGACCCAGATCCAAGTCAGCAACTCTCTTAAAACTGTAAATTGCAGATTAAGTATCAATCTATATTAGAAGAGGGAATTTTTTTAAACTATGAATTCCCTGCACCAAATAATTCACAGGAGCAGTCAAAGAGAAAAAAGGTAGAATGGAAAGGGTACCTTCTCTAGTATTAGAGGGTTTGGGTTAGAATTTTACTTCAGCTGCTTAATACCTGTTTGACCTTGGGCAAGTCACTTAATTTCCTTCTCATCTCTAAGATAAAGAGGTTGACTAGATGGTCTTTGAATTCCCTTTCAATTCTAGATCTATGAAAAATGATCATACTAAAAATAAAAATGGCACAAGAGCATAGTTTCAATTATGCTTAGCAAAATTGTCTTGCAAAGTTGAATGTTTTGCTCTAAGTAAAGAGAGTCAAGATTAGGGCTTTCGGGAATTAGCAGAAAGGCCCACCTATCCCAAAGACCGTGAAGGGCCAGAGGGAATAAAGTGACCTGAAAGGTAACAAGGGCCCATAGACTGATTTTAAGTACAAAGAGATATTCCCAGTACAATTATTCATATGCTTTTCAATAATAGCAGCATCTATATAACATTTTAAGATTTGCAAAGCATTCTACATATATTCTCTCATTGATCATCATGATAATACTGTGAGGTAGGTGTTATTATTATCTCCATTTTACAGATAAGGAAAGCAAGGCAGAGAGAGGTCGTGATCCAGTTAGTAAGTGTCTGAGGCTGGCTTTGAACTGAGGTCTCCCTGACTAAGTCAGTGCTATTCATTGCTTGTCCCAGCTGCCATCTAGCATCACAACAATGTAAAAGTGTGATCAGTTCATTTTAGGTAAAATTAGGTATTAAAAATAATTGCAGGATCAGCCCAGAAGACTTACTCAGAAGGAAGACTTCTTGAAAATGAGCCCTGTGAAGCTAGAAATTTCAGTTCCATAAATTTCTATACAAGGTGCTTGAAGCTTAAATAGTGATTCCTTGGTTCCTACAGATGCTAGGAAGAAGGAGATTATGGGAATTGAACATTAGCATTCCAATTCCCCTACAAACATTAGTCAGTGTTTACAAAAGGCACCTTGCCTGAGATAACAAGCTCCATCCTTTCTTAGGGGATTATATTTCTAATCGGCTAGGGGAGTACAATGTTTAAACAAATTTACGTTTAGCCGTGGCTTGTGGTCAAGGTTTCTTAGAGGGAGTGGTTTGGATCAAACATTGCATTCTATTTGGGAGAGGGAAGGAACTTTTATTTATAGTTTTTTCTTGACCCCAGTTTCCAGGGGTTTATAATAATTGTATGTATATATTTTATGTTTTGAGTACTGCTTTCCTTTTATTCTTTGCATATGGCTTTCTTTTCACTGACTTTTAATCAATCAGCTTGATAATTCATATTGTAACAAGTCTTTTAAAAAATATTCTTACCGTCCCCACTTTCAGAAATAGCATATGTCTATATAAAAATTCAACTTGATCAGGGAAACCATAGTATAATTCGCAAGAAAATTTTTCCAGTGTTGTTGAGGATTGAAGTATGGGCTTAGTAAATAACCAATGTATTTTCAAATAAAAGTATAAGAAAAAATTAATAGAATTAACATTTTGTGTAACTTACAGTTATGACATTCAATTCTATACATGATTAGAAATTTCCTGTAGAATTTATAAATTATTAGGACAGATGCTGCCAGGTGAGTAAACTTCCCTAAGCATAGGATAATGTGCTTGTTTGAGGGTCCATCTAATTCAGCAATGTGTGATGAGTGCCAAGTATGTGTTCAGTCCACTAAGCTATTACCTTGTGTTTTGGGTGATTATTAACTTATTGATAAGTGCTATCTTTTGTATATAAAGATGATACCAATCATTCAACATCATCAGTAGGACATTCAATTCAAGAATCATTTACTATGAGCTACTATACAAGGCTCTGAACTAAGTACTAGGAAATACAAACACAATAAGGCAAGGTTCTAGCCCTGATGGGGCTTGTAGTCCTGTAGTAGATAACAAGAGGCACACAAATGACTACAAAATGACCAAAAAAAAAAAAGTATAAGCAGGAAAGTTTTGAGAAAGAGAAGTTTATTTCCATTTGGAGAGTTCAGAGAACACATCATGTTCAGGGGGAGGGGGAGGTGTGACAATTGGGATGAGTCTGGAAGGATGG